AAAAAGATATTAAAATATTTATCTCCAAAACGTTCTTTAATGTGTTTTCTATTAATTTGATATAGAACCTGGAAAGAGTATCAAAACCCATACATTCAGCTTATCTTTCCCACTTTTATTGCTTTTGGTTCCGTTTCAAGGAATTTCAGGACAATGCTTTCATTGTTTTTATCCTCGATTTCCAACTGCTAAATTGTAAGCCTCATAAAAGTGAGAAAATCAAAGGACAAAAGCTGACCGACCGACCACAAAATGGATTGATATCTCGCAACTAAGCACACATTATTATTAATATTTAATGCGATTTCCTTGCAATGTCCCTTCAGCCGGCATTATGGCTGTGTCCTTTGTGGGGAGGCCAAGTGATATGGATGGAACAGGACGTTGATGGACCTGCGGAAAGCCGCTTAAAATGTTTGCCCGGTATACTTCCTCCGTTGGCTTTCCTCCTCTCTCTCTCTCTTTTTTTTGTTTGTGTTTTTATTTCATTTTTTTTTTTTTTTCTGCTGGCATTGCGCTGATTTAATATTTAGCACGCCTGGACAATCAGCCCCCTTGGCAGACTCTCCCTTCGCTGCCTTGCAACCCCTGCGGCATGACGCCTTAGTAAAATTTTAATGCGCTTTTGATGATGGCCATAAAACGGCAAAACAAAATGCATGGCAGTGGGCAGGGGGTGGTGGGCGTGGCGTGGCCCGTGCATGCGAATCTCTGCTCTAGATAAAATATTAATTTATTTTTCCCGCGCTCTACTCGGCTGTCCTTTCTGCCGCCACGTCCAACGTCCTGTTCTTTTGGGGTTCCTGCCGGCAGTCGTCGAACAAGTTATAGTGCGCATAAAATTTTACGTATGTATCGCCGCCGTCCTGGCAAGCTCAGCTCTTATTTTTAAATAACTGTTTCAGGCTCCACCCCCCAATGTCCAGCCAAATATATATCCCCAGTACCAAGTATAGCTATAGCCGACGCGGCCCTCTTTTGACCTCGCCCACTGGTTTATTAATACTTTCATTTCGAGGCGGTTTATTTGTTTTTTTACTTTTTTTCTTGTATTTTTCTGTGTATTTTATTTGGTTTTGCTGCGTTTGTAGCTTGCATTTTTATTTCCCGCCTTCTTGTGGATTAGTTTTTATACCCTTGCAGGGTATTATAATTTCAGTCAGAAGTTTGCAACGCAGTGAAGGAGACGTTTCCGACCCTATAAAGTATATATATTCTTGATCAGCATCAACAGCCGAGTCGATCTAGCCATGTCCGTCTGTCCGTCTGTCCGTCTGTCCGTCTGTCTGTCTGTCTGTTTCTACGCAAACTAGTCCCTCAGTTTTAAAGCTATCTGAATGAAACTTTGCATATAGTCTTCTATATGCTCTCACTGCTATATATGTCGGAACGGGCCGGATCGGACGACTATATCATATAGCTGCCATACAAATGTTCGATATATTTGTAGAAAAAAAATTAGAACTTTGCTGTTTTTCAACATTTTTGCACCATTTTTTAGATATGGCTATTCTATATTATTTCAGAATTTTGGTAAAAATTTTATCAAAATCGGACGACTATATGATATAGCTGCCATAGGAACGGTCGAGAAATAAATAGGAAAAAAAATTATAGTTTCGTTGTTTTTCAACGTATGTTTATCTACTCTGAGATATAAGCTTTATTTATTATTCTAGAATTATGGTATAAATTTCATAAAAATCGGACAACTATATCATATAGCTGCCATATTAACCGATCGGTAGATGTAGAGAAAATGTAAAACTGGGAATGTAAAACTGTAACTGTCAAACTGTAAACATAATAAGTATAGGTAAAATGTAATGAAACTCTGTTTTGTGAGTGTTTTCTGCATTTAAATCTATAATATAAACATCGAAACCAATCTGCAAGGGTATACAAACTTCGGCGTGCCGAAGTTAGCTTCCTTTCTTGTTTAATTTCAAACAGCTCGTGAAATGTTGAACTTTTTTATTTGCTTGCCATCAGACTTGCTCAGTATTAGCTTGTACTCTGATTTCTCAAAAATATAAAATGAATTTTTGGCGCTCTCAAAGATTAGAGAATTCTGAAAGCAAAATTAATATTTTGAGAATTTTTTAAGCTCACGACAGATTAAATATAAATATCATTTCTTATTAGAAGGTTTTTTATGGAATAAAGAAACTTGTTTAATAACTTAAATGTATATCATTAAATTCTTTTACAACTTTGGAAACCAATCCATAATATTTTAAATGTATAAATATCTTCAAAAGCTAAAATAAAAATGTAAAATGAAATTTAAAATTAGCTCATTCTTATTGCAAATACTTATTGCAAGCTCAGGAAATGCAAACATGTCCAGTTAATTCTCACAGAGCTCTGTTCAATTTATCAGTCGAAGGCCCTCGAGGGTTGACACTTTCCCCGAACGTTGGTGATTCCCCTAGGAGCTGCTCTAATCAGCTCCCATCACTCAGCTGCCCACTCCTTCCTCGTCTCTGGAGCACCATTCGCATTCACCTAATGGACTCGAATTACCGGCAAACAATGAGTGGGCAGCGCCCTGAATATCCTTTCCTTTCATATGCCCAAATGGCCATCAGAGGAGAGCAAAGAGGAAAGAGTGACAGAGTGGGAGCAAGTGCTGGAGCACGCGCCTCATTTATTCAATAAGCTGATCTCATAAACAGGAGTAATTTTTCCCGACCCTTCCTCCCGTCGCCTTTTCCGGCTGGCTGGCCAGTCCTGTCAGGATGCGATGCACGACGCTTGACGCTCTCTTGACTTGCTCGATGATTGCGCTATTTACAATAATTGCAGACATTTTGTGCGCCATCGAGCGACAGTCGCCGAGTTTCCTGCCTTTCCTCTTGTCCCTCCGTTGACTTTTCCCCATTTGCGACGCTTGTCCTCCTGCAGGACCTCTGGCAAATCGCATTAAATGCAGCTCTCTCTCTCTCCCAACGAATTGTAAAATGTCATTCCAGGATGGTAAGGGAAGAACGTATTTTCAGTGCTGTTCTTGCTTGCTCTCTCTTCCTTTTTTTTTAAATTCTACTTTACTTCCTTTTTAGCAGCTCACACTTTCCGTCCACTTCCTCTTCACACTTCGCTTTTCCTGCATTTCCATGGACAGAATGCACAACTATAAAGCGCACTGTGCTCACAAAAACTAATTAGAAAACTTTTGCGGTTGATAGTGACAAGGAGAAGGGAGAGGCTTCGGGGAAAGTGTTAAGTGTGTGCGAACTGTGCAGAAAAAATGAACAAAAAATTATGTATATACAGATATATATAAAGAGAGAGAGACACAAGCAGGAAGTGGAGGAAGCTGGCAGCTGCATTAATAATTAAGTAATAGTACGCACACAATGGCTATCAGTTACATGATAGGGCGAAAGGGGATGATGATCTTTTGCTGGAAAGCAAATACAAATTTGACATAAATTTCAGATGGATATCTGCAAGGAAAATTTGTTCAAGAATATTTTTAAAATTATTTGTAGAGGGAAATCTGTGGAAAATTGAAGTTATATTTGGGTCTTAAACTAGGCTATAGAGTTATAGAGTAATTTAGACTTACAAAAAACGTATATTTTAAATGAATTAATAACCAATTAATTATTAAGAAATCTTCCAAAGTCTTGAGCATAAAAAACCCCATTATTGAGCCTCCCGCGCAACACTTAAAATTCTTAACGACCAAAAGTCATTCATCCCTCATTCGAAAGTTCTGTTCGCTCCACCCAAAAAATTTGCCACTGTGATATTTGCATAGGCCATAGAAAATTTGATGGAATTTCGTCTAATCAAGTGACTACCCTTGGCCTGCCTTCTCCTCCTCCTCCTTCTACCCCAAGTCTAATGCAAATCAATGTTAAAAGTTTTCAACAAGATTCAAAATTTCATGAGCCAGAGGACTTATCGATGAATTTCATGAATAACAAAATATTGCTGCTACCCGAAGGGAAGAGAAAGAAAAATAAAATAGGCGAAGACAAAAGCCGCTTTGGCACTTCCCCTCCTTTTTCCTCCCTCCCTAACAACAAATTGAACATTTAACCCATTACAGCCTCTAAGCAACCCCCTCTCAGCCTCCTCCGCAAGGACCTGTGAACATGAATAAATAGAAGCTACAGGCAGATATCAGGAGAAAGGGGATGAGAGAGAGGGCCGCAGCAGCGTGGTAAAGGAAAATTTGGCGGCTTAAATTTTCCATAAATTTCCATGCCAACGGCCAATGCTCATTATAATTTGCCATCAATTCCCAGACGCTTGCGAGAGAGGTATTCTTATTTCATTCTTGTTGGCCTAGACTTGACACGCCCTGGCTTTTGCTGCTCCTGGCAGGGCCAGCCAGCAGCAGCAGGCACACTCGAAACTCATTAACGTAATTTCCGAAAATTTATGAATGTTAATTGGGAAATTTCTTTGGCATAGTACAGCGGAAAGTGCTTATTAAATTATGCTAATGAGTTCTTGAGCTTCACACAGCTGACACGAAGCGAAAGCTCCTCCTCCTTCGAATGAGAAATTCCAATTATGCCAGAGACAATTGCAAACACACACAAATAAAATGGCAAGTAAACGGACTGAAATTGTCCACCACAATATAGCACAACAGCGTTGCTGGTGGTCACTTGGAAAACGAATGATTGGAAAATCATTCATTTTCAATTAACCACCTTCAGTTTTCATTTGGTTTTGATCAATTAGGGAAGCTTGGGGTTTTGCTGGGTTTGCTGTCTGTTGCACACACAAAAGGCTTACACCATAAATAAAAGGGAAACTTTGGAACTTAAATGTATTTTTTGATAGGTTTTATGTCATGTATTTATTAATTTACCAGCTTTGTTTGATTCTAATACTTTAGCTTAGTTTTAATTTTAAATTTAAGTATGTAGTGATCCCTATAACCATTGCATTGAATGCTGAAAATATTACCACTAACTTTTGTTCAGTGCATTCTCTATTCCTTTCTAATTTCTCGTTCTGTTTTCAATTATTTCCAGGATGTCTTGCACAAAATCTGTCATCCACATGGCCAAGTGCTGCGCATTGTCATATTCAAAAAGAATGGCGTTCAGGCCATGGTTGAGTTCGATAATTTAGATGCAGCCACAAGAGCGCGTGAGAATCTGAATGGAGCCGATATCTATGCTGGATGCTGCACCTTGAAAATTGACTATGCCAAGGTAAGGGAGAATGGAAGCCAACCCCTTTAAATATTGATATATAAAATCTATATGATATTTGCAGCCGGAAAAGTTAAACGTATATAAGAATGAGCCCGATACCAGCTGGGACTATACGCTGAGCACAGGTGAGATTCTACCAAGTGCGTTCAAATTTTTTACTACCTTCTTCTAAACTAGTCTATAAGCAATGCACCGAATACATCGACACTCGAGCACCCACACCCTCACACCGTCGCCCACAAACACCACACACAGACACCATTGATACTCGTACTCACACACACACTCGAAACACACACAGAGAAAGAAAAACACGGAGAGTTAATTGCTTTTTGTGTAAAACAAATATATATATATTTATAGTTGGAAAAACCTAAAGAATGCCGACGATATGTGATCCTGTTTTGTATAGAACTCCTTTGGCTTTGCAACCGTTTTTTGCTACTTGTATATCTTAGCTAGCGTTGTGAGGCGGCTGAACGTGGCGTATGCGTGATATCCTAGGCTGTGCATCATCTTAAGTTGTTTTCTTTTGTCTCAAAAAGCAACCCCTATTAACCGATTCTCGCGATCTTTAAACACATACACACACGCTGTCCACACTCGCACACACACACCAAACCCAAGACTCAGAACCCCGAAACCCAGACCAGAACTCATTATATCAAGCATTTAACGATACTCGAGAGATACTCAAGAGCTCATTAAACACACACACTCGACTGATGCCACCTGTTCGTGCCACGCCCACGCCCGGTGCCGGTGCCTGTGCCTGTGCCCCTGCCACATTTCACATGTCTCAGTGCTTATGACTGGCGACAAAGTTGCGCATTAAATGCCATTTTTAATTTGTATATTTCACTTTGAATAAAAATGAAATTAAATGCTTTTGCCCGGCTGTTCCTCGCCAGACAACCAGGCGGCGTCGTCGTCGGTGGCGGTGTCTCTGCACTGTCAACGTTTTGTCGCCGCTGCCGTCGAGTGTCGTTTGTTTGTTGTTCAGGCAATTTGCTGCTGTTGCGGCTGTTGCTGCGACTACTGCTGGAGAGAAGACGATGAGGTCGACAGACGACGGGCCACATCAAACAAAAAAAAAAAAAAAAGGCCGACAGACTGAGCTGCCAGCAGATCCTGGCCGGGCCAACGCACTGCTAACGTGGCTGCCAAGTGTCAACGCTGCCACAACAGCTAGTAAAGTTGCAACAACACCAGCAGCAGCAGCATCGGACAGCTGGCAAGGGAAAACCAAGAGCAAAGGCAGAGAGGGACAAAGCCACAATAACTCAGACAGCCAGTTGTGGCAGAGAGTTTCCACGTTTTTTGCCCCTCCTCAACTTTGGCTGATCCTCTGTGCTGCATACAGCACTCATCCGCCCTGTTGTATTGCCATTTCCATTTGGAGGCCAAAAGTCTGCCGCATCCAGTCTCCAGCCTCCGTTCCCTTCTTCTGCTGCAATGTCTGCCATCAATGAATGGCAAAACTGAATGAACTTGGCGCCGCCTCCATGAGTTGTTCAGGGGGGAATGGAGATGCCGAGAGAGATGTGTTAGCTAACAACGGCAACGAACTACAGACCCATTTGCTGGCACATTACGTGGGCGTGGGCTTAGCTCTGGCAACTTGTAAATTAGGCCCGGCACTATCTTTGTGTCCGGCATAATGAACAGGCTGTGGCCACCACACACACACTGTAGTTATCAGTCGAAGGTGGGGTTCTTTCATCTAGTTTCATCTGTTAAAAGGATTGCATTTTCTCTCAGTTTGCCGGAATTAATTGATTTTTGAAAAGAACTGGACTTTAGTCACTACTATACAAATTATAATAGTAGTTTTCCGAGGCTCCCCTTTCTCGAAAGCAAATCCTTGAAATTAAAAATTTAATATATTTTATAGGCCTTTAAAACCAGAAATAGCTTAAACATTAGCGTGCAAGTCAAATTGGTTTCAGACACTAATGATACTCAAGACAGGGCTTGGTCTCTAAAATAGCCTGTAATCGTCTTGGTAGGCAGGGGGTTTATGCAATATTTAAATTACGACCGCGTCACCACAGAACCAACGAAACTGACTGACAGTTTTTCACTCACCTTTGGCTATGGGAAAAACGTACTCTCGACGACCTTTCTTCCCTCCCGGGGCTGTCGTAAAATCAATAGAATTCATTAAAATCGTAGCAAGTGACAATCCACGCCCGCAATTTAGTTTCCTCGTCGTCATTTTCGACCCGACTTGGACTTTTATATTGTCTTAACAACAATAACAAGCGCAAAGAACATCGACGTTGGGCAAAAGGAAAACAAAAAGTGAAGTGAGGCAAGTTAAATATAAAGTGGAAAATGCAAACATAATATTTGCATAAGATTTTGCGCTCAACCTCGACGCTTTTTCCCCTCGGCAGCAGCAGCTAGCTATCCCTTCCTGTGTCCGTCCGTCTCGTGGCTTTCCCTTACCTTTTTTGCCGGAGCAAAGGAGTCGTCGAGGAGGCAATCGATACAAAATGCCAGCACGTGAAATAGAACGAGGACACCGCCTTGGGTAAACAAGAGTCTCCAAAAAAGCATTCGAAATGACTGGCTCTCTGGCTGGCTGGCTGGCTGGTTGGCTGACTGCTTGGTTTGGACGACCAAAGTAGCAAAGAAGTTTTTAACAAGTTGACTTGAGTGCTCACCCACCCGTCCACCAATTCACCATCCTTTCATCCTTCCCTCTAGCTGTCAAGGAAGCTTTGCTCCTGCTGCAGTTGAAACTTCATCAACTACATACCGAAAATTTGTATTTGCATTTGCATTTGACAACCGCCACGGCTGTGCATATTTTATGGGGAGAAGTTGAGAGTACAGTTGAGCTTCCATAACAGGGACAAAATGAAAAATCTTGGTATGAAGAGAGCAAGCCAGGTCATCAAATTTCCACTGTACTAATTTTGAAAAATTAAATTAAAAACTTTCGTTCTAAGCAGGTTTACCTGTATTACCATATCCTTCGTGCACTTTATCTATGCGCGTTTTATTAATTTTCTACTCATTTCGCTGTCATCCGGCGTGGCTGCGTCTTCCGTCCGGGGTTATCCTTTTGCCTGTGGCACCTAGATGGATTCTTCCTGCTCATCAGTAGTCGCGGTGGTTCGCCTTCGTGTTGTCACGCGATGTTCTCTTTCTTGTCCTTTATTTGGCTGCAAATTGTTTTTGCTTTCTGGCTGGTTTAGCGCACTTTTGGCTCAAGGACGTTCGATTTTTTTTTTTTCTCATTTTCCACTACTGCAACTTGACAAACCTACGTGCATTTTCCAGCGATTTTTCCACCGGCTGATGCCAAGTGACAGTTTCGTTTTGCCGGTTAGTTTGTCTCCGAGTTAATTTGGTTTTGTGGCTGAGGAATAGCTCTTCTGTTGCCTGCTGGAATTGATTAGAGACACTTTTGTTACGAGAGCCGGGGAAAATTGTGCGGAAAATTGTGCAGGCAACGAATGACTGCGGATTATTTTGAAGAGATCTCCCCCATTAGTACTATACTCTACACAAAAAAATAAAAGGCGGCACACGACCACTTTCCCCCTTTCCCAAATTCGAAGCCAGTTTTGGACCTTGATTGCGTATTCAGATAACCACAAAGAACCTGGCCATAATTAACCACAGAAATGTCATGAAAAAACTTCTCCCCGGGGCTTTGGGATCTCCCCTCCCCCCCCAGAAAACGTGCACCGTAATGGCAGTCATTATTTATTTTATTTCCGAATGCACGGAAACAGCAGCAAAATAACAATCATAGAAAGTGGAACAGGGATAAGGCAGGGACTCGGTTGCTACCTTAGTTCTGGCAACAACAAAAAAATTTCAATAAAAGGCGGGACCCACAAATAAAAGCAGACAAAAGGACTGGCAAAGAAGGGAAATGCCAAATGTCATAAAAAGAAAGCCACAACGAGGGACACCCGCCACTGAAGAGCAGAGACTCCTCCGCATGGTGGCCATTAAAAAGAGCGACCCCCGCTCTTGCTGCTTGCTGCTTCCAGTTGAATAATAAAACATGACAAAACTATTTTATGTTTATGATTAAATTATGTTGGCCCCACAGAGTTGGAGTCGTCAGGTGACACCTCCTCCCTCGGAACGGAGTCCTCCAAAGCGATTGTGATTCTGCCACAACAATCGAATTAAATGCGCATAAATTATTCATACACACTGGCACTAACACGCATGCAAATCACGTTGGCAACTCCTCCGGGCTCCTTCCCAGTGATTTCAATTATGGCTGGATGGATATTCGTAGGCTCGTTCTTATTTATTTAAATTGCTATCGAAGAACTCTCGTTTTTGTTGCTTACTTTATCCTAAATCAACATGGGTGGGTGATGGTGGTGATGATGCCTCCCCCTAGGTTCTCCTTGGGTTATTTATTTTTATGACACTACGATTTCCGCAAGTGTCTGTCTGTGTTTTGTGTGTGTTGTGTGTGTGTTCGAGTCCTTCGGCCTGGCTGCCTGCTGATTATTTTCGTTTTATCTTGAGCCCAGTGCCATTCTGGACCCCCAATTTGTTTTTAGTGTCCTCCATATGCTCCCTGGTCCATGGTACATGGTCCTCCTGCAAATGTGTGTGTGTTTCACTCTATCTATATGGTGGCTTACATAAATGTGTGTGTTTCTGTGGGTGGCTGGGTGCCATTCGCTCCGCCCATCTAATACATCGTAATTATAACGGTTTACTCTTTCAGCATGGTTTATTTTATGCCAAGACTTTATGTAATCAGTGTGAATAATTTGGCCTCTGTGCCCTCGATCTGATATAGGCTTTTATTTGCCCCAAAAACCCTTCCTGACCGACTCCAACACCCCACAACCCACGTAGTGAAGCCCCCCTCACATTTATGGGCGTCATTTTATGTCTTGTCTGTGCAATTGCGTGGACCTCACTCATTTAGAACCAATTAAAATGGCTTTTATTGCCACCCACATAATGGCAACGACCAATTTTGGGGCTAAGCCATACATTTTCAGTGTCCTATTGCGATGAACTTTTTGCGGGTTGTTTTTTTTTTTTTATTTCGGTACGAGTGGCATTATCATATCGTGATTGAGTCTCGGTTTTCGTTTCGGTTTCCAGCTAATTATAAGAAAATATTTTTATAGCAAAAGCTTGA